GGATTTTATCATTCCATGGACCCCAGGACACCTGATAGTGCCCAAAATCCAGCTGGTGTCACACAGCCTTGGTATCCAGGAGCATTAAGCCAGACTTTTGCTCATTAGTGTAATTAATGTCAGATTTCCCAGCCAGCTGAGCTTCCAGCTGACCTTTAGTTATTGAAATATGAACAACAAAAATGACACATTACCACGGGGAGGTGTCACACGCTGCTCATTTGAAATCCTGTCTCAGTGACAGGCCCCCAAAGAGTTTCTTTCTGCAAAAGTAAATGGGAAAATTTGGAAAATGCTCAAGCAAGGAGGAAAAATTCAACTCCACAGCAGCACAGCAGGGACACAGCATCTCCCAGCTTTAGGGGCACAGCCAGAAATGATCCCAGGGAGACAAATGGAGGGAGAAATGAGGCAGAGCTGTTAAAAATGAAACAGAGGAAAGAAGATCTGTTTCTTAGAGTCTTGGGAAAGTCACTGAGGTGGAGACAGCTGAGCCAGGACTGAGGCAGCAGGGACAGGGCCCCAGGCCATGGAGTGATCCCTGCACAGGGACAGCTCTGCCCAGCATGAACTCAGGGGCAGCAACAGCCTGAGCCAGAAAGAAGCTCGGGGCAGGAAAAAAACGCCAAAAACCCGGCAGCATTGTCTGGTGCTGGATGAGCCTGACCCAGCAGATCACAGCCCCATTTGTCACTGCAACAGCAACAACCTGGCCCTGGATTTCCAGAGATTTGCAGATGTTGCTGCAGGCTGAGCAAGGCAGGGGAAGGCAGTGGTGCCAAATCCCATCAGGACACTCCCGATGGGAATTGCTTTGCCACAAGGCTGGGGCTGGATGTAAAAGTGACCCTGAAGGTAAGAGGAGAAACAAGTTCCTGAAATGTGGAGGGCCCAACCTCCAGAATAACTGCTGGAATGACTTCCAGAGCACTGGGCATGGCTGGCAGGGATGTTGGCATCACCCACTGCACTTCCCTGGGAGCAGCCCCAGGCTCCTACTCCTCATCATGCCCAGGAATAAGGACTAAGGAAGGCAGGATTATCTCCCCCCCCTCCATTAGTCACACTTGGTTAATATTCCTGCTTATGGAAAAAGGTCACAGTTTCTCTCTCACTTATGTCACTCCACCTTCCATTTGCAATTGCAGGGTTCTGCTCCTTTTCCATCCCTAATTAATGTTCAATTACAGGGTCCTGCCCCAGCCCACCACCAGGCACAGGTCCTGGGCCGTGCTGCCTCTCTGGGGTCTCCCTGTGGAAAACTGACCCAAGAACAGCCCTTTTTCCTCTGGCAGCACGGCAGGAACCAGATGGACTTGCCTTCAAATGAGATTTAAATGGAAAATCACAAAATAGCTCCTTGTGCCAATATGGAAGGGTTGGTGTCCAGCTGTCCTGAGCACGGGAAGGTCAGCCTGGGTGACCCTCTGGAAAAGGAGGCCAGAAGCACCAAGC